TAACACTAGCTTACTTGTGGATGTGTATACTAGTGAACTGGGGGCACTGTACACGGGAGATCCCTCCTGGTTTGCCTGGCACAGCAGCACCCTGCCTACAAGAAAGAGAGAGAGAGTGGTATCTGGTTTGGGAACACTTCAACTACACCTCAGTTTGCATCTCAAAAACAGAAATAAAGTCAACAACCAGAGAGAACCAGGGGCGTTACTCATCCTGTGGCTTCAAAGCAGAAAGAGCCCAAATAAGTAAAAAGTTTGATATTGGATGAAAGCAAACACAGACATGCCCATCCCATGGGGAGCCACCAGCCCTGTGGGTGCTCTCTGTGCCTCTCACCTGCTGCTCCCAAAATCTGCAGCCCACCCACCCTCCCCACCCAGCTGCAGCATCCTCAGCACCCTGGCTGGGATCAGGCTCCTCCAGCCCCGTGGTGCTCCAGGACAGGGGTGACAGGGGTGACCTGGGGCACATCGCTGCCATCGCCACTGAGCCATGGCTGGCACAGCTGAATCCGGTCATTTGTGCTCAGTGCAATGCACAGGTATAAACTACTTTCCAGTAAATGAGCTGGGTTCAGGATTATGAACCAAACCAGATGAAACAAAACCATTTTCCCCCCCCAAAGGCATGAAAGTAAAAGCAGTAACCAAAGCCACTTAAACCAACACTTTCAAAATGCTTGTTTTGAACAAATGACAACTTGACGGTTATTTCCTWTTTTTAAACCTTTTGAATAAACAAAATAAATAAATCTTTTTAAATAAAACACCTCCGTTTTTGGGGKTTTTTTTCYCCCATTTTTAAATTATATTTTAGCAGTCTTAGCYGAACACAGATTGAGATCGAACATTAATCAGAGGTAGAAACAACTGTACTTTCACACCCGGGAAAAAAACAAAAAGAAAAAAAAAAACTTCTGCACTTCTGGAATACAATCGACCAGGAAAAGTGGGATTTGACACATCTGGCTGTGCAGATGTATCTGTGTACACACAGAATGATATACACACATACACTGACATACTCGAAGCTGTCAGGATTCGTGAATGCCACAATTCAAATTTCTATGGAGATTTGTGAAACTTTAGGCATTGTGAATTGACATGCAATGGAACTGCACTGAGCTGAGTCCAATGTGTTTGGAAGGACAAGATTAATTACAAATGCTAGGCACATCTTCCACAGTATTACAGGAGAAATTCTCAACTTTCATTGGCCAGAGCCAGGCCAGAGTTCTTACAAAAAATATTTTTTAAAAATGTTGTGCCATTAAACAGTTCTTCGATTGTTGCTTGCAGCTGTCACTTGAAGGAGAAATATTAGAAATACTGAACAGTAACAAAACAATTCTTGTAATTTATGCAATTTAACTAAAACCAGGACTRCTGCAAATCTCATTAATTACCATGCTCCCACCTTCCCAGACAATAGTGTACCCTTAACTAACAGGATTTAGTGAGGGTTACTTTTTTCCAGCCATCCACAACTAATATAAAAGATAAAACATAAAACAAGTGATTTTTCCCTTACTTTAAGAAAACACATCATTGACAATATTGATATCTCTCTCAGCCTTCTAAAAAATCCAGATGGCAAATGAACATGCACCTATTGAGATCTGAATTACAAGCAGCATTTTCAGGTTATGAAATAAGGAATTTCATTTGACTCCAGGAATGTGTACCCTGGAATGTGAGTGAATTTAACTCCACAGACGCTTCAAAACTTGAGCTACTGCAGAAGGCTGAAAATGAAAGTGAGCTGAAGACCCAGAGGCATTCATCCAGCTGGGAGAAACACACTGGGAAAAATCAGTCATTTCCATTAGGTTTTAATAATATAAYGACTTTGAGTATGTCTAGAAAACATAAAGGAAAAGATTTTTAGCAATCAAAGGTTACAGCTTATTGACATTATTCACCATAAATCCAAAGTAACACTTGGTTTCCTCCGTGCTCCATAGGTATTTTCTATTCTTTKCAGCTAAGATTCTTATATTTTTTCTGATTTCATCTCATACAAATCTAATTTTCCCTATTCTACTCTTCTAGTTTCTAATTAAAGTACTTCAAAACAGATGCTTTTTTCATCTGTGCTACTAGAGTGTATTTAATTTCTTGCATAGAGCCTTCTAATTATATTTTGACAATCTGCCTTTGAATTTGTACATAAAATTAATACTGATAACTTAAACATTATTATTAGATTTTGTTAGAAAAAAATATTGAACTTTTTAATCGACTTTAGTAAGAAAAGATTATTTCTGCTGCATCTAATTTTGGTATTAAAAATATTTTAATTGCAATTAATACAACTGAGGGAAGACTGAATTATTTACCATAAGATCTTGGATAAACCTCAGAAYGCAGAAACAATCTATAAATTCCCAAATGGGGAAAAAAGAGTATTATTTTTCCTCCCTAGAACACTAAATTCTAGTGTGATGGAATAAAGTAGGGTTTTTTGGGKTTTTTTTTTCTTTTAAAAAGAACAATTTGAATATAAAGTTTTGAGGGAGCAGTGGCAGAGGGGACACTGAGGGGACCAGCCTGGGGCAGTGACATTGCAGAGACTCAGCCCTCACCCCTGAAATGCCACCTGGCAGCAGGGACAAAACCAGAATTCCCAAGATCAAAGGCTATTCCCACTCATCCTTGTCTTTTTCCACTGTTTTCTGCTCCAGCCCATGATTAGGAATATACTGTTTGATGAGGTCCTTTGCTGAAGCACCATGGTTATTTTGAGAAATAATTATTCTAAAAATATTCAGGACTGTGAAAAAGAAAAAAAAAAAAAAGTGATGTGCAGTCATTAATATTTTTAGAATGCTTAAAATTCAGTTCCCAGTGGTTTCAAGATCTCTGACTAAATGTGTTTTCCCTCATTTCTTCATACTTTCAAAAATAAGTTTTTGTGTACAGTTGTTTACATGCTGCATATAAACTCATCGACAGAAATACCAACGCACTCGTGGTGCTGCACRGAGTACTCACTGCCTCAAAAATCACCGTATTTCTCAAATACTCAGCCAAAAAGTAGCACCCAGGATTGAAAACATGTGGATTCCTAATTATAAAATGTTTTAAATCTCCTTCTGTTAAAAATAGCTTTTAACTGGAACYGCTGTGTAGCCAGTACTACACGCAGCTTAGAAGGAAAGATCTGGAATTAGTTTTAAAGAGTTTGCACCATTAGTTGGAATCTCTCATGGCATTGTTTGTGGAAGTTTAAACTGAAATAACATTTTCAGCAGAAGAAACCCCCATCCCTTAGCCAAAATCATGCTGTTGATGTAAAATTAAGAGTGGTGGCAGACCTCAGCTGTGGGCTCAGCTCTCTCCTGTCACAGGCAGTAAATGAAACTTCTAGAAACCTTTCCTACCAATGTTTTAAAGTTTATAGATCATTACAGGGAACCTGARCCTMCARTGCACCAATTCACCAATTCACCATATACATGGCATTCATACCTTGGCCTGGGAACCAAATTTTCCAGTTTGTAGTGCTGTTGTTTATTGTCCAAGAATTTGGAGGGAGTTATGAGAAAGAAGGGGACAGGAGATGCTTATTGGGGCTCTGCCCTGGAATATAACAAAGTGAGATGGGGGATAAGTGTTCTCCTCTCACTCCAGGAATCCTCAGGAGYCACAGATTGATAGAAAGCTCTTTAAGAACCGGAAAAATGCCAGTGGTGCTGAGCTCCCTTGCAGCATCTGCCTTCACAAGGAGGGTGAGCACAGAAGCTTTTTCAGGGTCAGGAATTCATCAACTCAATATCCAGGGCTGCTCTGCCCTGGGTTTGGTGCACAAGGAGCTAAAATGAGCATTTGCAATACAGGAACTAAGAAACTCACTAAGCACAAGGAGATTTAGTGGTGATTACATTGCTCTAATCCATTGTACTCACAGCTTTCCACATAAATCAGCTGCTCTTTACACATATTTTATTCTAGTGTGTTAGCAAGAGCAGCTCCTTACTGCCTCTCACACCTAAGCACCAGTTCAGTCATTCTATAATACTATTTACAAACAAAAAAATCCAAACAGAGCCACGGAGAAAGTGAATAAAAACTAAAACTATTTGTGTCTCATTTTGCCTATATCATTATAAACTTTTTGAAGAGCCTTATCTACATGTAAAAACCATGTTCATTATTGAATGAAGTGATTGTTTTTTTTCATTTTCTTTTCCTCTCATTCCAGCTGGATGACACCCAGTTCTCYCTGATCATTCTGATCACTCTTTTTCTTCGTACCTTTTGCAACAATCATTATTGCCAAACATTTGGGTGTTCATTGCATGAAGAAAAGTATAAAGCTCCATCTCCCATGGACAAATCAGGAGATTTGCAAGTGCATCAAAAATCCTCATAAGCAATCCATGTCCACTCTCGATTGGTGTAAAAATGTAATTTAATATTGGCATTATCTTTGTTCTGGCCTGAAATATTGTTCCGTGATGGGTTATTTCTAAATGTCTCACAGAAATGGATCAGAAACACCCAATAAAAGGCTCCTGTTGTACAATAATAGTGTGTGTTAGCTTCTATTGTCCCTCCTGACTAGGGAATTTAAAGAGAGCCTCTACAGCCTCTCTTGTGAATACATGAAGTAGTTAAGTGCTCTCTTAGCCCTTCATTATCAACTACACACTCTTTGTATGCTTTTAAATAGGCTGTTAATTCAAAAAGAAGTGCTCTGTGAGGGCCTTCAGTTATCTGGGATCTCTGTAAATGGAATAATATCCTTCAGATTTTAACACAGCCACTCGTGGATGGTTTTGTTGGTACACTGGATTGTTCCATCTATTGTTAAAAAGGAATAAAATAGCATTATCCCAAACCACACGCCTCCTTTCTTCCAATATGGTAAAAATACAAACAAAACCTATGTTTAATCCCACCAAAGCTTATATATTTAGTTCCACTTAATCAAGAGGGTAAGGAGGAGAATCTAAAGGAGTTGATGTCTAAAAGTGATTTTCATAAGTCCAAACCCATTTTTGCATTGCCTTCTGACAGCAAGCCTGAAATACATTGAATTATTGAGCAGCCTGGGTGTGCTTGCTCCTGGTAATGAGAACCTGTGCTCTAT